AATCAGAGTGGCATTATATAGGAGAGGGTTTGGGTTAGTGAGTGGTGGTAGTGGATGGTAGTGGAGGTGGTGGGTGGTAGTGGAGATGGTAAGTGTGTTAGGTTTAGTGGGGTGGATGTAGTGGGTTAGGTTAGTGCGACAAACTCGACCAACTCCTCCTCTCTGTCTCCATCTGCAACGGCGAAGACTTAGGCCCCTTCGTCCTAAACATCTCCCAGCCCATGCACCCACCAGCAGCCATGATTAACCCCAACACACGCATGAGGCAACACACGCCACCATTGCCATCACACACCACACCTTATCCGATTTGGAGCCCTCAACTGCCACATTTGTGACCTTGACCCATACCCAGACCTTGGTCTTCATTCCTTCTATGTTCGCAGAGGGCAAGTATACAGTCAGCTTGGACTTTGGCTCATCAAATTCGTAGCATGTTATGTTCTGTGAAAAAAGACCTGGAGGCAAGTTGTGTTGCCGCAGCAGCTTCTGCCCCAGCACCCGCTACAAACAGTATGGGTTCTGATGCTTGCAGTGTGCTGTCCAAGGCATTTCAGCAGGCGATCACGTGGTTACATTCATGTTTTCCACTTGCTTTGTCCCTTTTTTTTTTGCTTCCATTCCCACTTCTTTATTTATTTTTAATCATTTTTTATGTGACTTTCGGCACCACTTTTAACCTCCCATTCAGTGCAAGTATACCTACAATTTGTCACCTGATCTGCAAAAAATGGCCAACACATCATGGGCACCCCCGCCGTCAAGCTCTCAATAGTTGAGTTCCATCCACTGTGTGTTAAGAACACTCCAACTGATGGGTGGTTCAGGACTTCCTCTTGCGGGCACCACCCTGCTATCAATCCCCTTTCTTTAGTGTCTGCCTCGAATTCCTGTGCCAGAATAACCGACTCTCCAATCACCAAATCAGGCCTAATTACCCACAGGAAGTAATGGTTGCTATTGGCTAGTCCCCAAGCAAACTCTATCAAGTGTTGCAGGGGCATGACTGTTACACTTCCAAAATTGACATAAATAACGGAGCTAGGTTCTTTGGAATCAAGCCATTGGAGACACTTTGGTTCTTCTTTCCACAAATTGTATCCAAGACGCTCCAAGTCTGGTGATACTTGTTGGTTTAGAAGTAACTGTAAAGGACCAATGGTGTAAACATTTTGAAACATAGATGAGAGAGCATCCAAAAGATCTTGTTCCAACGCATTGAAAGTATGAAGACCAATTGCTGAAGCTTGAGAAGCACTCTCTGCCGATTCCATGGCTAAGTTAAATATTTCATCATTTGGATTAGTAGTTTGGAAACATGTTGGAAGGTCCTTTAGACGAATATCTTTCATTCCTGGAATCCAGTCTATTATGGTGTCTAAGTACCCGTTTGTTAGATAGCTTTCATCTGCATATCTTTCTACAATTTATTATATCCAAACAGGTTGTTTTTTGCAGCACTTTAAAGAAATTGATGGTTCTCTTAATATACACGAGCAATGAATGCAAGGCCAAAAACGTATGAAACTAGACTCGTAACCGGTTCTAATGGCGCTAATTTGATAATTTTTGGATTTATACCCAAAGAGAACAACAATCCCGAATTTACTGTTTCGGACTGGTTTCCTGGACAGATTTGAATTCCTCAATTTATATGGATTTCGACTCCCAAAAATTATGAAAAAATTCAGATATGCAATTCAATGTGTAATTGATCTACTGTAAAAATTTCAGATTAAAATTCATCCGTTTGATATGGTTTCTTGATTTTTAAAGTTAGCGATTATGTGCAGAATTTTTGGACTAAGATTCACACCGATTCTTTATACATGAATTTAACTCCTTAGATTTCTTAACAGCATATATATATATACACAAAATACATACACCTACAATCTCTCCATCAATGAATTAAATAACAATATTATTAGGATAAAGAACAAAGAAAGAAGAGAAGAAAACCTAGGAAGCCACACAGCACAACACACCCAAAGCTCTTCTTCTTGGCTACAACAATAATCTTGATGATTGAAAAACCCCTCTCTTTTCTTCATAAACCCACGGCTGCTAGGGTTGCTAGTGTTGTGGAAAACAATTATAACAAGAGTTAGGGTTTGTGTTTATTTTATTTTATACTAGTTGTGGGCACACTTAGGTCAAATAGATAGATAAATATACAAAATACATATATAAGTTACATGCAATTCAAATGGTAAGAGTCTAACTTATTAATTTTGTGGTCTAGAGTTCAAGTCACACCCTCTTCTCTATTTTTTTTTTTTATAATAAATCTTGCTTCTCAATCAATGACTTTCACCATAAATTTATTTTAGGTTTAAAATTAATTAAAAGATCCTCTAATAATATTTAATTTACACTTAAAGATTCATAATAAAATATTTGAGATTGTAAAATTATTATTTAATTATTTACTTAATTTTTATATTCGGGTTCTCACAATGGGTCCACAACAATGTCCTCTGCCCAATCCATTGTCAAACCAGCAATGACAAAAAAAACACAAAAAAAAAGTTCACAATTTAACTAAAATTAAACAAAATTTCTAGAGTTGTATCCCGTGCGGATTTAAAACCGAATTCCTTTATTGTGCAGCAAACTCACAAGAGCGATACCCCCATTCCTTTCTTTGTCCTATTTCTTCGCTTGTAGCCACCTCGATTATGCCTTGGTCTGTGGGAATACTCATAACCATGCCCTAATTGTTTGGAACCTCCATAAGCATGACTCCAAAATAGAGAAGTGGATCATTGAGGTCTAGTCCCTGTATTTCATACAGCCGTCCAACAGCTTGGCCCATAGTGTAACTGTGCCCTTGGACGACGTGGTTTTTTTTTTTTGATCAGCGAAGAAAAGGATCTTTATTGATGAAAACCGAGAAAGGGAATACATCAATAAGGGAGAAGGGGAGGGGGAAGGGGTAGGGGATTGTTTTGCAATGTTTTTGGCTGAGGAATGCTTCTGCTTGCTTTCACTACCAGTGGCATTGATATTGGCAGATCATCATGTTAGCCATTTTCGATGCGCCTAATTCATTGTTATCACTGGAAAATTCTTCACTGTTGGACTCTTTGTCCAACTCCATTGGGTTACAAGTCTTGCCAGGCGTCCATGCATCTTTCCCCGTAGTTGCAGTGCCAGTGAAGACGCGCTCCATCAAATTCGGATGGTCCAAGGTTTTGGTTCTGAACTTGCAACATACATTGTCAATCTATAAATGAGCACAATGTAAATAGCATTATCGTATTGACATGGAATAAATTCAATGCAACATGGTGCAGAAATGGCAAAATTAAAACTTGAAGAGAGGATAAAATGCTAAAATATTGAAGGAGGTAAAGTATGCTAGAATGAACAAATCAATCCAACTGTGTTAAATTACAAACAAGTTTCTGCTTTTAGTTTTGCACCTGGTACATTGCAACATAGAGCAATTCAACTTAAGTGTGAACCCAAGGCAACTCAAAAATAATTGGACTTTGTACTTCAAAACCATAATTTTTTTTGTAGGACACAAAATCTCAAAACTAATTTTTTCCTTTTATTTTCTATTACTTATGTGTTTTTTATTGAGTTAAACAAGAGTTAGTTATTGTTTGGATTGCTCAGTTGGATTCTTTGGATTGAATTCTGACAATGCTTCCATGAATTTTTGTAAACCATTATTTGGCAGCATATCTGCAAGACCTTGTATACAAGCTGAGCAAAGTAGGCCAAGCCATATAAAACAATGATCTCTCTGGAGCAAGCTCTGTTCACCGTCCCAGCACCGACACAGATTGGGTCCAGAAAGCCAATGCAGTCTTCAACAAGGTCTTTTTCTAACTGATCTAATACTATTGCAAACATTTGCTCAGTATGTGCTTTGTCTGACAATGCAATTGGTGGGATCACAATAAATTGAAAAATAATAATTTTCTTTTAGCTATTTTTTAACTACATCCAAATGAAGTTAATTTTTAATATGTATTTGACAACCTTTCAAGAAAGTACAATAGCTAAAAACTGAAATATAATATTTTTCAGCTAAAAACAAGTATAACAGCAATTTTTTAAGCTAAAAATACATTTTCATCTCAAATATACTCCAAAAATATACTCCACACTCAGATTAGTTTTTAATCTCAAATACAATAATTTTTTTCATCTCCTATTTTAATCAAAAAATTAAAAAGCAACTAAACTGACCTCAATTACAGTTTATGTTAGGTTCTGGAGAGATACACCTAAATTGACCTCAATTACAAATGAAAAGAAAATTCTTATTTTGCATTAATATTTTATCAGTACCTATCACATTAACCTATCACATTAAGAAAAAAGTTTGCTAAAGATGTTTGCGATAAATAATTTGAGTGGGGCAATCCCTACTCCCAAAATCCCCAACTCACGAACACCACACACGTATATATAATCGTCGCATTTGACAGTAAACACCCACCAACAAAAGAAAAAAATTAATAATAATGGCATCATTGGACAAACACCTTAAAAAATATAAATTTGATATAAACTTTGAAAAATGAGGTTGGTGTCAACACTGACAGCCTTCGAACTGTATGTACTTTAGAATAAAAAAAATATATTTATTTTTATATTTTTTGAATCATAACTAAAAAAATATATCATAACCAAACATAATATAAGACATAACGACAAAATTTATGAGTCATAAATAAAATAATGTCATAACAAAAAAAAAAAAAATTCTTTAAAGTTATAAACATACGACGTTTTAAACTATATAGGAAGGCATGGTATACATACAAAAAATGAGATATTAGTTCTATAATAACGGACAGGAAAAACAAATTGTAAAGCGTTACCTTCTGCATATTAGCCCACTAATCAGTCGACGCAGTGAACAACCCAGTAACTTGGTCAAAGCCAATTCCAGTTGGGCCTTTCTGGCAATCCACTAGCTTAGACCATGCACGCCACTCACTCTTTAATAAACTGTACTTATTTTTAAGTTGTTTTAATGAATGCAGCCTCCCAGTTGCTGCCTCAAACGTCTTAGACAATGAACGGTACCCGTCTGGAATGATTGACATGTGCGACCGGTTTCTTGCATCAATTTCCTTAACGACTAGTTCCAAGAAAATCCGTGTCAACTCCCCATCCCAAGTTGCTTTATGATAGGGTTGTTGCCGTTTCCCTTTACCGAAAGGGGTACGAGGCGCAGGTTGATGTGACGCCATGCGACTATAACAACATCGTGGAACGGGAACCAACGTAAAAATATTTATACACTCCATACAAGCACTAGCAAAATCATGAACACACCTTTTATGTCAGAAATGTGGTATTTGAAACAAAACATAGCGCAATAGATTCATTTATCGACATTCGTATTTGAAACAAAACAAACAGTTGTGGAAATATATAATAACTACATGTTTACGAACAAAACATAATTTCAGAATTTTTTTTGGGCCACAAAACATAATGCCTTTAATAACAATAGGATAAGGTCACAGCACAGTTACATATATCACATCTGAAACAGTAAAATAACAACGACGATGCACAACACACATGTTACTACTGTAAGCACACGCAGAGTTTGTTCAATGTCACTGAAACGAGCCTCAAAACGAGCAACATTCTCTCTGTCATTCTCAGCAGCCCTTTGGCGCCCATATTCATTACACCACCCAATCCAACTGACACATGGCTGAGGTTAAAAAATATATTAGTGATGGTTTGAGAAGGAAATATAAAAGTGAACGTGCTTGTACTCACCACTCCACGAGGGCATTGGTAGTACGCACGACCAGGGTTTTTTTGCAGAACGGGAAATCTTTACAACACAGTGCTTGTAACCACACGCACACATACGGGCTGGTTGTGTTGATGTAGTAGTTGACATAAATGAGGCCATGGTTTATTTCGTGACTTGTTTCGGGACATGACAAGCATAACAAGAATAGGTGAATGAGTGTGACACTTTTGTTATGGACATAATTTTATTATAAGAAACTGGGTAAGAAAATCAAACAAGCCCCCTCCCCCCAAACAGAACATTTAAATCCCAGCCTATAGCCATTTTGTTAAACAATGATTGTAAATAGAGAAAGGATGGTAACAAACAAGTGCAGATCCTTTACGAAAACATTACAGCTTCATTGCATGCCAATAAACAACAATCACATTATTGGACAACAAAACAAGAACTACAATTTTTGGAAAAAAAAGAAGAAGTTCCATATAGATTGTATTTTTCGAAACAGAACATTTGGTATGGACAGTAGCACAGAAGAATTGCAGATCACAAACCAAAACAAATACAAGTAGTGCAGAACAGAAACAAGGTAGGAACAGGAAGAACAAA